AGGAGGAGGAGGAGGAGGAAGAGGAGGAGGAGGAGGAGGGTCGCTTCACTTCTGGGAAAAGTATAACTTTGAAGCACCTCCATGAAATATTCATTAGACCCTGCCTATATTAAAACTGCCTGTTTCTCATTATGATATTGTAAATATTCAATAATGTTCAACACAGTCCTCACAGTGTCCCTTAACTGTCTTTTTGGCAGAAAGCCAGATTGATCTTCATGAATATGTACCCGTAAAACCTCCTTTAATCTGTCTGTCAAAACTGCAGCAAAAAGTTTATAATCATTGTTTAATAGTATCAAGGCAGAGTAATGCATTCCATGTGTAACCAAAAATGTGTTTTACCAGTTGTTAGCAAAAGAGCCATCCACTCCCTCCTGTACTAAATTTAATATTTATTTTGTTGTAATTATTTTGTCTTGCTTACTTAATCACATTTTTGAAGAACATGATTTTTGCATATTGTGTGGGTTGTGTGCCTCCTTACCACCACAGTTCTTCTTTGAACTAAAGAACCCTCAAGATCTATTCAATTGTTGACCAGCCATGTAGTTTTCTTGGCACCAGTATGGGAATCAGTTGCCATTGCCATCATTTGGGATGTGTTTGTGAGAAGTGGTTCTCAGATGGTTAAGAAGCCGTCTATCCATTACCAAAACAATCAACAGGTGTAATCTCCTTCCCTTTAAATTGAAAAAATACAATAAAAAGAATAAGAAACCTCCTGTCCTAATTCACCTGAATACAGTTCCTGCTTTCAAAGTAGATACTTGCTGGAATTATTGTGTTCTTCCTTGAACCCCTTGCTGAATAAATTTAAGTCATCTGAACTGTGAGATTTGCTTGGGGTATGAGCCACTTCTAGTTGATGCTGTTGCCAGGAGCCTGGTAGTTTTTTGACCTCCTAATCTAACTGACCCAAAGGTGTTTCTTCAAAAGGCACCTGGACTTTTTTTTTTCTTTGAAAACTTCTCATTTGTCAACCAAGATTTTTTTTTCAGTTCTTCAAAAGGTTTTCAAGGAAAAAACCCCAAAGAAAGTTGTCTTTTGGAAAAGCATTTTTGGGACAACCATGACCTGGATGATTGAGAATCTCCATAGACAGTCTAACTAACCCTGTTTAGCTTTTGAGGCCAGCCAAGGTTAGCTAAGTGCTTCTACCTGCTGTTATTAGTGTTTCTTTATAGACATAATGATCTGGATTATTCTTACAGAGACATGCGTTGGAACAAGGGAACTATTTTAAAAGCTTCTGTGGACTACATCCGTAAATTGCAGAGAGAACAGCAACGGACGAAAGAGCTAGAGAATAGGCAAAAGAAACTGGAACATGCTAATAGACATCTTTTGCTCAGAATACAGGTTTGCTAATTAATATATAAAGGTTACAAGCTGTGTGATTGTTTATTAATTTGATGTATATTAACCTTTTCTATCAAGGCCTCTTTTGAGACGAGGACAGAATAAAAAAAGGTTAAAAACCTAAATGAAAATTAATGCTATAATTGCTACTATTTAAGGTTATTGGGGCTTGTTTGCAGAATGGTTCTAGAATATTAATCAGTCTGGAAGCAATGATCATAAGTACATGAAAACGGTTTTTGGATAATTCTATTTGTAACTCTGCAAGCATTCATAAAGGTTAGATTATAACATTTTGTGCACACAGACATAGGTAGGGTTGAACATTCTGCCATTGCTTTTGTGGGCACATACAGTAAATGAAACATAAGAGTTTTCATTTTATCATAGATTCCACTTTTACCTGATCCATGAAACTATAATTCTCAGGTGCACTGTGCCTGCCATACCCTTTACCCTGCAAAATTCAAGGTCCTTAATTGATCCTCGGCCACAGAACTGATGATGCATATGAAAGCAGGGCCATGCCAGAAGCATGATTCCATTCCCTCATGGTTATAGATACAGGTCATCTTTGACTTATGACCAAAATGTTTGTTGCTAAGCAAGACAATTGTTCTGTACAAATCTTTTTTATTTCCATTTCATTATATACAATCACATGTTTACTGT